AAAGAAATACAATTAAGAATCGGCATCAACAATTTTACATTTCAGTTACTGCTATTCATTGCCATATAAACAAAATATTTTGATGATAAAATTAAACTAATTTTTAGAATAATAAGTTTATTTTGTAATATAGTATGAAAGTATATATTATTTCATATTACATTATTAGTTATGAAAGTTTCAATTATAAGAAATTTTATAAGAAACTATTCTTTCAGAAAAAAACATGTATTTATATGCATGCTATAATGAATAATATATTATTTTTTTATTTCTAAAATTATGTATGAGGAAATTTTATATTTAAACATCATGAATAATTACAAAAAAATTTTTTATATTTGTTAAATAAGTTGCAATATTAAGTGGCAATTATCTAAATTTTAATAATACTTCATTTATTTATATTCAAATAAATTTACAAAATAATTAAAATTTATGAAATTTTTTAATCAATAAATTACGTTTTTATAATTATTAAAATTGAAATATTTAATTGAATAATGTGCTCTCATTAGATAAAAGAGCCATTAAATGTATATTATATATTATTATTATTTAATTTTGGCAATATATTATTATCAAATCATTTTTTGCTAAGTTCCATAGATAGTAATTTTTAACATAATTTAAAAAAACATTTTTTTGACATTAAAGTTTTTGTACTTTATATGCATTAAAATATGTGTAATGCCAATATAAATTATAAATGATAGTATTACACATATTATTTTATGGGTTAATTATATATAAACTTAGATATATGTGTACATATATAAATGTTTATATTGGATTTATGAAGTTGATTGGATTTTATTTATAACCATATAGCAATATATTGATTTTTTACACATATTACATATTTCTATATACATGTGAATATCTGACAAGTATATTATTTTCTTGTTATAAAGTATAATAATAATAATAAAAACAATCACAAAAACTTGATTTATAATTCATATTACTGTAATGGCTGTGCAATAATAAATTAAATAATTAAAACAAATTAGCACAATTCTATATTTATTAATTGTAATTCAAAATAATATCATATTAATATATTGTAAGTTAACAAACAGATATTTTTTACTCATTAATTAGTGTTTTTTCAATATATTGAAAACATTTATCATATGCTTAATTAAAAATAAAATTATAAATGTTGTGAAATATGTAGGATAAATATTGATATTCATCTATTCTCATTCAATTTTATTAAGTTACAACATTTTAAATAGAAATAGAAATTTTTTTTTTAAATAGAAATATAAAATTTTAATTTTATAAATTATTAAAATATATAAAACATATAATGGAACTTAGCAAATTTTTAATTATAAATTAAAAAAAATATATGTCTGTTCTGTAATTACTCATTGATGTACATAAATGTATGATTTGTTATATGTCTATTTATATAATTTTTTCCATAATAGTTTCAAGTCCATAATATGTTTCAAATATATTACAATATAATGTATTTATATTAAACTTTGTCTTTCAAACTTCTACTTCATGGAATAAAGATCGATAATAATATTGCATAAGATTTTATCTAACTTCATGTTAAAATTTTTTTCTTTATACAATAGTAAATTTTATAGATAATACTAATAATAATATATGTTTTATGCAATTATGTAATAATGTATAAGTTGATTGAAAGTTAATATCAATTTATAGGATTCATGTCAAAATGATTATATTTTAATTAAACAATAATAATTATGGATATAATTTATAAAATATCATACATTTATCTTCTCTACTAAAAAGATGTACAAAATATTGAAATTAAGATATGATTTTCTTTTAACAGTATATGTGTATGTTTAACACACATTAAAATAGAATATCAGAATATATGCAAAAGTTGCCAAAAGAAATACTACAATAAAAATTATTGTGATAAACTGTTCAACAGTTTTAAAATATGTAAGTAATATATTATATTGTATGATTGGAAAATGATTAAAATTTATATTAAAATTTAAAATAGATTGCTTCTCAAATTATAATCTTGTTGAATAGTCTATCAAATGCGACATTACATGTATAATTTTAAAATCATAATATTAATGTAATTCAATATACATATATGATTATATAAAATGCTGTATATTTCTAAATATATAAATATATTATAAACATTTCAGGATTTTTTATTTTATTATAGGTATCATTTATAATGTTACAATTAACTTAAAATTTTTCATAATACATTAAAAATATATTGTATTATTGTTAAGAAATTAAATATACATTTTTTTTTTATAATATTAATTTTTTTTTCTTATTCTGAATTTTTTACACTTTTTTCAAATTTACGAGAAATATGACTACGTTTTTTCATAATAAATCTGCCAAACTTTACATTGGTTTTAATATCATAACACTATAATATAAAATATGTATATGAATATATAGTAAAAAAAATATATATTAATAAATCATACTTTAAATAATAAGTATTCTATACTTCTTTAAATCCTTCAATGATGTTAGGAGAACAAGATAAAAGTTTATTTTCTTTAATATTATCATGAAAATTAGATTTTTCAAATAATTTTTTTTGCACTCATAAATCTTTCAGATGTACTTGTTGACTTCTGATTAATATTTATATTATATAAATTCAAAGAATTTTCTGTAGTAGTTATTAATCTAAAATTAATATATATATATATAATTTTTTTTAATTCGAAATATTTATGAATATAAATGTTACTTTAATTAACTAATTTAATTATAATTATACCTTATAACTTCTAATAATTCCTTTGAAAATAATTTTAAATTATTTAAAATAAATTTATAATTTTTTAAATCTTTTTCTATATTTTTATCACAAATTAGATTTATCTTATTATTAATAATGTTAATTTCATCTTTTAACTTCGTTACTATATTATTATACATATTGATTTCTTTTAAATTTTCATTGATTGTAATATTATATTCACATTCATAAAATTTGTTTAATTTCATAACATTAGAATTTGTATTAAAAATAGAATTAAAATTATGCATCAAAGAAAAATTCCAAATTTTATTACAAAATTCATCTTCTTTAATCCAAACACTGTAATTTATATTATCCTATAAAATGACAATTTATTTTAAATCAATATAAAATTGAAAAAATATATAATTTAATTAACATATTAATTTTTAGAAAATTTTAATTTATTATTATATTAATTTAAGATTAATTTATTTAAGAAAAATTAATTATTATCATATTATATTTTATATTATTATTTGTTTATATTTTATAATATATATATACATGTGTATATTCTAAGTTTATTAATAATTTATTTTTATTTGTTAATAATTTACCAATTCTTCATGTTTTTCTTTAAGAGTTTTTTTTTTTTAGTTGAAGAGTATTATTTCTTATATTTAAAATATTCTTGATAATCTTTAATTCTATATCTTTATTAACGTATTTTATTAAATGTTCATCATATAAAGAAGACATAATTTTTTAATATATATAGATATATATATTAATTATAAAAATATATCATAAATATGTCCATAATTGAATGCATTTTTATGTTATATTATCTGGAAGCTACGAATCATTTATTATTGTTTTCAAATAAAATATTATTGATTTAGAATAATTTAGATAATAATTCTATTGAAATAAAAGAAATTCTAATTAAATGTAACAATTACAAATATACAGAACACATCATATATCATTTTTGAAATATTTTTTTATGTCACAACTTTTAATTTCTGATCGGTAATACAGACATGAGATACAAAATTTCATAAGATTGTAGTTCTATTTTGTATGTAATCTATGATTATTAAATAAGAATATTTTTTTTTTAAAAAGGCATATCTGCAAATATCTATTTATCATAATTTATTTTTTAAATTGTGAGAAATAATTAATTCATTGAATATTAAAAATTAAGAAATCAAAAAATTTTATCTATTTTATCTATTTTTTTTTCT